TAAGTTATCTCCCAAGATGTTCATTGTTTTGTCTTGCAGTTTCCATCGAATTCCTTTAAGGCTGGCCCCCAACAGCCTGTATCGAATCCAGTGGGACTAGGTTCGATGTTTGGCAGCAACGCATTTGGTGGAAGCCAGGATTTGTTAAGAGTACGTAAGCAGACACTGAAGCAATTTTTATACTTTGGAATCTCAATATTTTGAATAGTTGAACGATATGCTACTGTATCTTCAAATCATGTGAAAACTTTTATTTTTAACTACTTCCCATCTCAAACGCTCCTTGAGTCTTATTTTTAGTCAGCACATCCAAGTCAACCGTTCGGTGGACAACCTATGGCAATGTCACCGTCATCGCAAATGATGAGATCGGGCATGCCTCCAGCTCCTCAAAGACAGGTGAGGCTTTATCTTCCAACGGCTTCCGTTGGGTAAGTGCAAACTCTTTCCTAACTTCAATCATATGAATGCGTACTTGTAGAACTCAGCAAGCGGAGTTGGTTGGCAGATGGGAGGCCCACCAGGCCAACCACGAGGTCCTCCAACTCCTTCACAGCAGATGGACTTCCAACCACAACCTCCACCTACATCTTCGCAGGTATGCAACTAGTGCATATTAACATACCTAAATTACTCATCATTTTCTAAGGTTGATTTGCGCTCTGCTCCAATGCCCTTAGGTGCTGGTCCAGTAGTCATTGACGATATGAACTTTCCCAAAGATGTGCAAGATGAAGCTAATATGTATTTTGAACAAGTAAGCGCTACTTTTACCTTAGTAATTGAAAATGCATGTACCCGTTTCAGATCTATAATCAGTCGTCTATGGTAGGAGATCTAATAATGCGTCTAAAAGGATTGAAAATGTCACAAAATCCAAGAGATCAGAAGGTAGTTCCAAGTCTTTTTCTTTTTAAACTTCCATTGGAACAAAATGAAGTTTAGGTTTTGGCATGTGTGGTGAAGAATTTGTTCGAAGAGTACAGATTTTTCCACGAATATCCTGAAAGAGAGCTGAGGACTACGGCCGAGATATATGGAGGAATTATCAGGGAAGGAATAATCAGGTGAACTTGGTTAAACGAATAATGCACCGCGTCAGAAATATAATATTTTTACAGTAATCTTCATTTTGCAACAGCTGTCCGAAAAGTCATCGAATCTCTACAGTCTGAAGTGGGAAGCATGTTGTGGACGTTCGGAATAGTTTCCTTAACAGCCTGCAGATCCAAGCTCTGCTCCTATCCGAAGGTTCGTCTAGTAGTTTTTATAGCAGGATTGGCAATGATTGATAATTCTAGGTCTGTTCAATGATCGCTCAACATGAGAATTTTTCCAAGTTCCCTCCGGGACTGAAAGAATACGTCTTGGCTGGTTTGAAAGGCGAACTTCCAGTACAAAACATAGCAATGCCACCAATGGACTCAACTGGGCGATCCACTCCTCCACTCAGCTGGACACCCACGCAAAGATCGTCTAGCACGGAGAGTGCAAAGGTAATGCTCTCTCTTCGAATGATTACGTTAAAAACAGCATGTGTACATTTTCAGGCAACAACCAGTAGCACAAGCGTCGGAAGCACTAATCGAACCGTAAGTTTTTTTTTTT